CCCCTTTTGGGCTTCCCACAAATTCCCCCAATCATTTCCGCGCCCAACTTAGCCATCCCCCCCCCCCCCCCCCCACCCAAAATCACCCTGAGGCTCAACCAAAAACTTTGTCGGCCATCTAATAACATTTGCTGCGACGCCAACGCTTATTAGCACAAGCTGACCAACCTACCTCCATTTTGTTCTCCTGTTTTGGAACCAAGTTTTCACCTGTGCGTCTGTCATGCTCAGAGTCTTGGCCAGCGCTGACCGCTCGGCGGACGCCAGGTATTTTTGACGGGAAAATCTCTTCTCCAGCTCCAGGACCTGTTGCCGCGTGAATGCGGTCCTCGGCTTCTTGCGTTTCGGGGGCGTCCGGTTCTGGTAGGGGTGGCCGACCCGTCTGACGACTGTGAAGCAAGAATAGTTCAATGTATTAGGCAGGTGTAGTCAGTCAAGTAGTGGAGCGCAGGTAGGGAATAGCTTCTTATAAAAGTGAAGTTGGGCTCATTTGAAACAAGAAAGAAAAAACACCACAGAAATTATTTCCCGTTAGTGGCTACATAACATGATGATACACGCACCACGCATGCTATTATTTGCCGTTAGTGGCTACATAACATGATGAAAGACGCACCACGCATGCTATTATTTGCCGTTAGTGGCTACATAACATGATGATACACGCACCACGCATGCTATTATTTGCCGTTAGTGGCTACATAACATGATGAAACACGCACCACGCATGCTATTATTTGCTTGCTTTAGAAAGATATCTCTTAATTTCTTTAAAACAAATAATTGAAGCATATGAGGATATAGACTATGAGGCCCTTCAATACTAACACATACTAAACATTAAAATTACCAATCATTTTTATTGCATTTCTTTAAGTTGATAATCAAAGTAGTAACAATTCTAATGATACAAGCCCCCCCCCCCAACCACACACACCTTTATCTCAAAAACTTAATTATTGTGATTTTAGACAAAACGGTTTTCTATTAAATATAAGACATAAAGCCTATTAGAAAAATTCTCTTTATAGCTCTTGTTGTCATTGAAATGTCTGTACCAGGAAGAGATGTCTTAAAAAGCCTTCTAGATTAGTGTGTCCTAACGTCCAGGGTACTAACCTCCAGGGTCCCAACCTCCATGGTCCTAACCACCAAGGTCCTAACCTCCAGAGAGATGGGACGGGACATTTCAGGGGGTGTGGGGAAACTGATTCTAAGAACAGAGGGCCCATGTGCTTTTAAAAATGACATATAGTTTGTTTTCACTAACATTTTACTTTAAATAACTCACAAGTTAATTTTGAAAGTTTTACAGTTCTCTTTCAAATACTGTGAACATAAAGTTGAGACGTTTAAAAAATATCCTAATTTAAAAATAACTATAAGTTGTGACGAATTTTATAGGGGAGAAAGTCCCGTCAAACAATTCGTAGTAGGATGCAGAAGATTGCAAAGCCTGGGAAACACTGTTCCATGTACACTCATAAGCTAAACGTAGTTAAAAAGCACAACTATTTTATACAGTAATGGGTATTTTGTATAAACAATTTACATTTTTCAAAAGCTGGAGTAGAAAGTGTCACTGAAATCTTTGAAATGGTAGCTATGGTTTTCAATATATGCTATGGATGGTGCAAATTAATTTTGCCAACATATTTTCAGATCCATTTTCCCATCTGAGTGACATTAGAGCCCATGCGAATTAAGCCCTGTTGATGCCACTTGGCAGTCCATCTTCATGCCGGATTAAGCCCTATTGATGCCACTTGGCAGTCCATCTTCATGCCGGATTAAGCCCTGTTGATGCCACTTGGCAGTCCATCTTCATGCCGGATTAAGCCCTGTTGATGCCCCTTGGCAGTCCATCTTGTGGGGTTCCTCTCGTAAATAACTCTTAAAAATGTCAAATCAATGACTTCTGAACGTCAGAGTTCGAGGTATTATAAAATACAACACAACTTTTCCACATGTTGGGTGTTTAAATGTTTTTCAAATATAAAGATACATTCATACAATCAAAAGTTATAGAATTAGCGGAACATACTTATTAGCTCAGTGGGCCTTTTTAAAAATAATTTCCTCTCTCCCCTTATATTACAACCTGGCTACGCCACGGCCCTTGGGACGAACAGGCCTTAATCCCAAAGGTTCTGCTCACTTTTTTAAAATATAAATAATAGTCCAGATGCAACTAACTGTTAATTTGTTCTTCAATTTTCACCTTCGGAATCATTTTTTTTTTTAAATTTCAAAAGAATCATCAGACAGTTGTAGACTGCTGTTCAATTTATTATAGTATTTACATAACTCGTTATTCTGGGACTGAGCTTTTGCTTATTAGTAACTTAAATGTAAGACTGGAAGAGATACAAATTATGTCTGTTTCTCAGCAGAAAGTAAAGTTAGAAGAACAAATAATTAAATTGCCTTTAATGTTTCTATAGAAATGATCAATTCTTGCAATCGTTGTCAGGGATTTCAACATAAAAAACAGAGATGACACAATGAAAAGTAAGCATGTTAACACAAATAGTTTACATAAAAATGATAACAAATATCTACAAATTAATTAATTAAAATTGTAAAAAAAATTAAACTTGCAGCCTTCACTCCACACCGTTCACCATGGAGGATAGGATTATTACAATTTTATTATTTTATACGTACGTCAATATCAATAAATTCTATGGCAGACAAACAATTAATTTATTTTAAAGGGACACAATTTGATTAGTATTTTTACTTAATTTTTTTAACGTTTACTAACGAAAAAAATGACATCATTTTTTAAATTTATGACGTATCAATGTGTTTAAACACATTTTCACTAGCACCATTTTAGATATTGCCTGCATTGTGTTTCGTATCTTCTTTCGAATCAATTTCCTAAATGATAAAAAAAATAAAACGTTACCAATTGTTATTTTTAATGAATACCTTAATGGCAGTTATATCAAAATTTGGAGGAATTCTAATTCAACTAGGTTGGCACTCTATCTTAACATTATTAATGTATAACAAATTAATTTGTATTTACTATTCTATTATACATATTTGCAAAACAACAACAATGTCATTACGGAGGCCCAAATTTAATATAGTCAAGGTCCTCTTGCGAGAAGTGCAGCCGAGACAGTCATTCCAAGATCGGACTCGTAAGCCATTTGAACAGTCATTCCAAGATCGGACTCGTAAGCCATTTGAACAGTCATTCCAAGATCGGACTCGTAAGCCATTTGAACAGTCATTCCAAGATCGGACTCGTAAGCCATTTGAACAGTCATTCCAAGATCGGACTCGTAAGCCATTTGAACAGTCATTCCAAGATCGGACTCGTAAGCCATTTGAACAGTCATTCCAAGATCGGACTCGTAAGCCATTTGAACAGTCATTCCAAGATCGGACTCGTAAGCCATTTGATGAATTGTCCAGAGCTCTCGCGAAGACGGACACATGCTATATATAAATATTATTATAACTATTTTTATATTTTTAAAATTGTAGTTATTAGTTTTATTGTTATGGTTACTAGAAAAACCAGAAAATAGGACCCAGCAGTCGGCTTTAATTTACTCAGCTCCCCATCACCTTCACAAAAGAAATTAATTTTAAAAAAAGTATTATTATTATTTTTTTAAAATTGGGTATCCCCATAAAGCGACATCTATCTACGTCAGTAGGCCATTGTTCATCCAACAGAACACACACGATTAAGCGTCTTGTTTTAGTTCTCAAATATGAAATTTTACGAATATAAATAAAAAATTAGCTTGGCGCTAAGACAATGGTCGGAAAACTTATTCGACTGGCCGAGCCGCAATCAGGTCCCTAAAGAGCCGCATGAGGCTCGTGAGCCGCAGTTTGCCGACCACTGAGGTAGAGTATCCAATGAAACTCTAAAGAAACAAATACGTTCGGATTCTGAAACTAGTGATAGTGATTTTCTATTATTTTATGGAAATCAAAATAAAATTTAATGCGCAAAAAATATATAGGCTTTTAGAATATGTTTAAGTATTATTATTATAAATTACAAATATATCTAAAATAACAATGAAATATCTTTTTAAAGCATTTTCTCTAATTTGAAAGTAATGATATTTTTTTTCATCAATAAATTATGATTTAAGAATTATTATTTTTATTAAATCATATTCTCATTTATCGGGAAAATAAAAAAAATCTGTTGTATTTTACTACGTTTCTTAGTGCAAATTAAAATTAATTTTATCTAATATCTTTAAATAATATCAAATTAGATTGAACTAAAAAAAAAAATTAAATAAACTAATTAAAATTTACCAAGCTTTACTTAGTTTTCATTTCAAAAATATACTTTTATCCCATTTATAAAATAATGAAAACTTTACGTTTAAAAATACTTTTAAAAAACAAAATGCTGTTTAAGTCAATTAGTCCAGCGAAACTCCATGGTCAAATATCAAACACTAATTCACTCATAACTCATCCAAATAAGAACAAACCTAACGAAGTTACAATTGGTTCATTTTAATATCTAAATCTTAAGAGCCCATTAGGTAACAGATTTGAGCTTTAGAAGAGTTTTTAATGTTACAATAAATAACCATAAATATCAATATAAGGAATTATTGGTAAACATATATTTTTTAGAAAATATAAAACAATGTGTGGCAAAAGGGATCCGGGACTTAAGAATTTTAAATAAGGTTAGTTACCTGCAAAAATGTGTGGTTGTGTACATAGTGGGGCTACCATCCCGTGGGTGATTTTATTAATTTTTTAAAATTAAAACATGGGGGGGGGGGGGTTCGATACTTTCATTTTGGTCCAGGCGGCACGAGATACGGCTCAGAATAAAGTAATGAATGTAATAAATAATTAACCTATTTAGGTACATGTATATGGGGGGGGGGGG